CCCTCCTCCGCTTTCTCCAGAGGCGGCTGAGTGATTTCAATGGTGATTTTGGGCGGTTCAATGATGATTTTGGGCGGTTTCTCCGGAATGTTTTGTTCGTCATCCTCCTGGAATTGGAGATTCGGCAAAGTTGGCGCAAATGGCTGTGACTCTTTGGGCAGGGCAGGAGATGCCTGCAGAATGTCGACATGCAAAGCTAAACACTGCAGGTGAAACCGCCGGGCTTGCATCAGAACTTGACAAACAAACGGAAATGAACGGCTGTAATGCAATATAATGCAATAAATCATAATAAAACAACTTAATACAACTTATATAAATAGACTTGGCACCTCCCGTGGTGATTGTGCCACCTCATTCTTCGCAGTCTCAGCCATCTCAGCCATCTGCCTCTCCACCTGGGGACAGTGTCCGCCAACAGTCCTCTTTGTGCAACTGGCAACCAACACTGATGTTTATTCAAAAAAAATCAAAACTACAAAGTTGAATGGCACATTGTAGGTGGACTTCAGAACAAATGATTTTGCTGCTCTTCACACTGACAATCTGGTGCTAGACTCCTAGAGAATATAGTAGCAGTTGCCAGCAATGCCACAAGGAACGATTTCCAGGTGAACTGCAGAAACGCTGACTTGGGCTATCACAGGTAGATGATCGGTAGATGTTTATGAGCAGATGGGAACCTCTGATGGGAACCACTTCAATGCGTGCCTCTTCCAATCTAGATTCAGCCGCGTCAGCTCTGGCATTTGCCTGGCGGGGCCGTACGCTGCAAAAATTGCGCAGAACCTCGCTGCCATGCCTTGGCAGCTGCTGCTTCCGACGCTCGAATGGATTCCAGGCACTGCTGTTGTGCCTGCCAGAACGCAAAGAATATCTCAGTAATATCTCAATCCAAAACAGTATTGGCAATGCCAAAGATATTAAAAGTCTCATTGGTGAAGTATTGGTGAAGTGACTCTTCAACTCTCCACAAGGATTGGATATGATTGGATCATGTGACGCATGTGACGCGTCTTGTTTTGGCATTCGCGTTCCTGAATGACCATCTCTTGCAGCTGCGCTGTTCTTTGCTCTGAAAGCCTGTCAGTTTTTGAACCGAACTGATGGAGAATTCACAATCGGGGACAGCAAAATTATTGAAAGTCTAAGAGATGCAAACGTATCCAAGCGTCGGTTGCAAAAGGACGCATGGAAAAGGCTTAGAATCTATCAGAACAAGGCCTTGAAACCTGATTCAGAACCTTCTTGAACCTCCCGAACGCTTTCCCTGAACCACTGGAAACTGCCCCAACCTTCCAGAACCTTGACCAAGGGTCAGCTTTCAGGTGGGCTCTGTCAATCTGCAACCGCCTATGATTTACAACCGCTGTTTGTTTAAGAAAATCTAGTGACAAGGAGTGAAAGATCAAGAAGAATAAAAGCATGTCTTGCCTCACAAAAACTGTTCGGCATCAAAAAAGTTTCTGCAACTAAAGAATAAATAAAAGAAAGCAAGACATAGCAAGACATCATATACTGTACATTTCAGTGCAGCCGAAGCGCGGGCTCACACAAGTTTCCGTACTGCCACAAGTCCATCGATTTGTCATCCTTGCCGAATCCTTGCCTTCTTTTCTCATTCTTCTCCCTTCTTTTCTCCCTTCTTTCCGCCCTTTCTCCATGCCTTGCTTCCTTCATGTCTTCTTTTCTCGATCCTTTCTCCATGCCTTCTTCTCTTCCTTCCTCCATGCCTTCCTTCTTCGCTGCTTCTAGGTTTTTCTTGATACTGAAAGGTTGTTGATATTGTAATATACATTTTTATAATATAATATAATAATACTTCTTTGATAACTCTTGTTCCAGAAACAAAAAATGGGGAATCAACTGTGATTCTCCTCAGCAAAAGTTTGCAAAACTGTGCCCTTGTACCTAACTGCTGCAGCTCTTTCTTGTTCTAGCTTCTCCTGAAAAACGAGAGAGGCAAAGCTCGCGTGGCAGAGATGTTGCTGTCCATTCAATGACCCGAAATACAAGACAGAATCTCCAGCCCAAAAGGTCTTGACACAGCTTGTCTATTTAGGCCCTTCCCTCTATATCACGAAGCCCCGCCCTTCTTGGCCCTCACCTGCTTTCTGCTTCCAACCTGCTGAGTGGCTCAGTGACCAGGGCAATTCAAGGAGTCATGCGCATAGCCAAGTCTATCCACAAGAAATTTTAAGGTATAATTTCGGTATAATTATTCTAAAGGTTATTATAGGTGCTGATAATTTATTCATATTTGTTCATCCAGTTAATAGTTGCCATTGCCAAGCTGCAACCATTGCGATTAATCAGTGCAGTTGCACCACGGAGCCTCCACCCCAGCTTGAAGGCGCCACAGAGCCTTCAGCATGTGTGTCATAAACGTGTTTGTCCTTTGAATCAGATCCCGAAACCAAAACCACTGAAATTTGACACAACCGAGTACGACAGTGTGAGCTGGATCATTTCTGGGTGTGTTGACCTTGCATTTTTCAAAAATGTTCGAAACATCAAGACGTTGTACCCTGTGCTCCCTGTAGGAAACTCTGAATGGTCTGCAGTCCCAGTGCTTTCACAATTGGTCGCAAACACACTCAAGCCAGTGTCCCTTCCGAAGATTTGGGACAGTCCAATTGTCCAAGCAGTCGCTCAATTGACACTGCTGAGGGGTGCGCAAAGCAAACATGAAGGTCCATGCCTCAAGTTTGCGTCAGGGAGCCAGATGTATCAGGCCAAAAGAATTAAAGACTAGTTTTGCAACCCAACACCTGAATAAACAAAGAAAGTCGAATGGCTCATGTTTCAAACCTCCGAACTTTGTTCCTCACTTTGTCCCTCCTTACTCATTGAACCCATTTACAGTCTTATCTCTCAGAATGGTGTAAAGTAAAGCAACTCCCTCATCTTAATTTGAATAGGTTCTGATCCTTAAGACCTCTATTGATTAAATTTGCGAGACGTTCGCTGCAAAGCAGGCGACCATGGCAAAAAAAGGCGTCATGATCAGAACATATCACAACAATAATATGCCCAAATCCAAATGATGAATCGATCTCTATCGGATCTATCGATCTCTTACATTCCAACATATTCCAATCTTGAACCTGGATCAACACGGCAACCTCCACAGCAAATATGCCGACGCTGTACATCCGAAAGAGTGAAGGATAGTGAAGATCAAGGAAAAAGATGGAAAAAAGTGTGCAAAGGACCAAGAGAAAACTTTGAGCATCTTTGAATCTTTGGGCATATCGGCATATCATTATATCTGCACCCCCAAAGATCCCCAGGTCTCAGCGCATGACCTGCAAGCTCGAGGCACCGCCAGGCTTGAAGCGTAAGGAAACGTGAAGCTGTTGAGACAAAATCACACCGGCTTTACAAAGCTATGTTGAGCTATTTTGGCTGTAAAGCTTTGGACGGCTGGCTGGAGCTGCTTTGCTGCTGTTATAGTTTCTTGTAAGCTGTGCCTGTGGCAGTACTCCGCTGGAAGCAGCTAAGATCCACACTGCATTGACAGAACAGCTGACCACCAGGCTTTAAGCTTGTTCAGGACAAGGTATGAAAACACTTATCAGCTTGAACAAGGATGCGAGCGATTTCCAGCAGAAACGAGTGGAGACGTCAAACTTTCGGGATCCCGAGATTCCCTTTCTACAAGCATGAAATCCGATGGGGACCGTCAAATAATCTATCTCTGGAAAAGCTCATGTCCTTCCAAACAATGACAAACGGAAAGCTGACGAAGAATCTGAGCCTCCAATTTTTAAATATCAGTAGGCTATGTTCTTTCAAACAAACCAAAACGTCCTCCATTTTGGTGGCCCCTCTTCCACTGCTCTCATGACTCCAACTGCTTTATGAATCGATTCATCCAGAACAATCATGCGCACCTGGACATCGGGCCTGGCGGAAGTAGCCGACAGCGAACCAGTCAGTTCATTAGCATTCATTGGCCATGCATTGTGCAAGAATACATGTTGCGGCAGGACCTTTAACCTGACCTTCAGATTGTTGCGAGGTCAAGACAAGTCTAATCGCCATTGCGACACCATATTGCCCATAAGCAGTGAATGCGCAGCCGTGAGAACCTCTGCCAGTTGGAAGCCCAGGCAACAAAAGCCTCCAAGCGATGTCCAGCATCGACGCTTTGAAAAGCTGCAGAATGGCATCAACGGCTGAACGGCATAGTTCGGCACACTTAAGTCGAATCAAAACCGCAGTTGACCTCATCAATGAATGAAGCTTAATAGACACATTGACATATAATCAATAAAATAGAGATCTCAAGGTGGTCCGGTGTATGACACCTGATCACACGCACTTACTGGGTGTTGATTGTGCTGAGGCTCAGCTGCACTCGCCCGCAAAGTTTCAAGTAGCTTGAAGAAATTGGAAAAAATGTTGGAAAATGTTGAGTGCTGGTTTGGAACCTTGATGAGTGAGCATGGTCTGAGGGAAGCTTGTCAATGGCATTTGGTGAAAGCCAGGTGCCCTGACAACTCGGATGAAGAACTGAGAGGCTGCCGCTGCATAGGCATGCATAATGGTCCTGCTCACACAAACAGAAGCTAGAATGCACAACAATGGTCATCAAGAAACAAAGGCCTGGTTTTAATCTGTCCCAAGTGCCCATGGTCCCGTAATTTAAAAAAATCCTTCAAAAAATCGCTACTCTTGCTCACGGCTTCCAGCTTCAGAACCATTAATTCAAGCAAAACCAGCATAGCCACAGCCAGGAGCCTCGCTCGAGTCTGCCATTGCTCAAACTCTTTGCGAAGCGCCACTGCCTGCCACGGAATACCAAACTGGGATAGCAAGAAAAGGCGGAAAATAAAGTGCGAAAAAAATTGAAAATCTTACTGGAAATTCTGGGATCGCCATGCATCACTCCCAAATAACAAAATGCAAACATTATTTGGAGCTTCATCAAAGCCTTTGACTCGACGTCCGGAGACTTCCAAAGATCTTCTGACCGTGTCGAGCACCTCTTCACAAGGCTGTCTGGGAGGCCCTTTGAGCACCTCAAGTGCCCCCCCCCGCCCAGCTCATTCTCTGCAATGTTCTAGAATATTCTGCAATTGTGCGTAATTGTGCGTGAAAATGGACATGTTAGACTTGCTGGACCTCTGCAGTCACTGCAAGGAAAACACTCAAAGCATCGCAAAATAATCCTTCAAGTTTTGAGGTCCAGGCATGATCATCTAACAACTCCTGCAATACAGTGCGCCAGAAATTGTGATGTATTTCAAAGAACAGCGACTTCAAAATATGCAACAATTGGCCATAGTATACTATAGTATACCTATGCTTCGCACAGCTGCTGTGAATGTGGCAGGTTCCCATGCTGTCACATCTGCCTTGAACATCTTGAAATATCTTGAACAAGCACAAACTTGGAGCCAAATCTGCACATTTTTTGCCCCAAGAAACGATTGCCGGTCGTAGGTCGAAGGCTGCTGGAGTGCTGAAGCGCTGGGTGAGCTCCCTGGAGCTTCACCAAGACCAGCCGGCGACCCCATTGGTTCACAGGCACAGGTCCCACCGGTGCAGCCTTTCCAAACGACCTGAAACCGAAACATACCGAAACCCATAAACGTTTGAAACACAGCCCGTTGAGCTCTATCAGCTCTCTCGGCTCGAATCTTGACTTATGGCTCACTTGGGAAGTTCTCCAAGCAATGGCTCCTGGACCTGGGCATTCCCAATGTTCAACAATGTTCAACAATGTTCAACAATCATCTCAGGTCTTCACTCATTCTGAATAATTTCTGAATCATTCTGACTCATTATGACTCATTCTGTTCAGATTCTAAGAGGGGATGAATCGGGAATAAGTGGCAAATGAATGGTCTCTGCTTCATGGATTCAAGAAGTCCCCAGGCTTGTAATGAAATCAAAAGATATCAAAATATCCCTTTCCAGTATTCCAACCCCTCATGTACAGCACAAGTTACTTTGAAACTACTGACGACAGTCCTGCACACCGTGGATCTTCTGAGCTTCTTGCCGGTAGCTTAGGAAGAGCTGCCCTTCTCAGTCTCCTGAAACAGAAAATGCCATGCATTTTGGATCGTGGCGAGCAAGCCACAGCTAGTTTGGCAATGCACAAAGGCTTGCAGCATTCACAACTGAAGACAACAGAAAGGAGACATGGTCAGGTTGCTCAAAGTCCATAAAAGCAGAAGTCAACTGAAGTATGAACTTGCACTAAGTCAGTAGACGCTAAGGAAATCAAATTTACTTCCAGAATTTTGACGCAATTGTGTACTAGGCCCATGTCTTTAAATCAGCTTTTTGACTCGTTTCTCCTGAGCTGAACCACGCTTCCGATAAGCCAGAAAGCGAACCTCAAACCCAGGCCAACGGAACCATTGAAAAAAGGGGAGACTGTGGTGAAAGCATTGTGAAAGCATTGTGAAAGCATTGAAAGTTTGCAAGTTCTTCTGCAAGTTGCAAGTTCTGAAATTTTGTGACGGCTGAAAGGCATTCCTTTTCTATGCCAGTCACTGAACCAAGGATAGGACCAAAGGCAGTAATCAGCCATCTTGTCCATACTGAACCTTTGTTTTTCATTCTTGCTCGGAAATAAATGGAAAAAATGTTGTAGTGATAGTCATAGTGGTTGTCATGACCACAACCCAAACTAGCTGAGACTCTGCCGTCAATTGCTGAGGGAAAGGCGTGTTCCCCTCTATGACAGGGTTGTACTTCGAATCAACAAAAATTCCTCGTACAGGAGCCTTTGGCCTTGATCGGGGCAGCACACCACCATTGATAAATTCTGTTGTCTGCTGTATCCTGGTTTATCATGCCGTATCCAGTTGTTCTGCCCTCATTCCGCAGCTTGAGGCAACAAAGCTATTGAGGTCCAGAATGAGAATGCCCAGGATGTCCACGAGTCAAGGAAATTCAGACCACCTCCAGCTTCCCTCTGAGGACTGCACAACCAAAGCATGTCAAAGAATTGCACCTTGCATTCTAAAGAGCAAGGCTGCTACAGGGATCTACAGGGTGCTTTGAGCAGGAGTTAAAGCCCTGGAGATGAGGATCTGGCCCAGCTCCCTGTCTTGGGAGTTAGGCCAGGACACGCCTGGTCGAGGAAGGGGAGGTACCTGACAGCTGAAAAGGATCCTGCATCGAAAAGCTCCAGTCTCCCCAGAAATCAACAGAAATCTCTGCAAAAAATGCTGTCAAATTCAAGTAGAAGGCTGCTATCTATGGCTGTCTCTGCTCTCAATATGTTCTATCCACTTTACTCTCTCTCTCTCTCTCTCTCTGTGTTGGATTGAAAATAGGGTCAAATCAAATGAAGGCTTGGCGAAGGGTTCAGCTTAATTTATCCATGCCCAGGCCCAAGCGCACCCTTGTACTGCTAAGGTAGTCACCGCAAACCTAAGGTTTTAAGGCGAAACGAGGCTTTCAGCAGGGAGAAAGACCCTGGTGAAAAATGTGCCATGGGACCACGACGCAATTGCAGAGGAGCAGAAAGCACCGCCAAGGCCAGCTGAAAGCACCGCCTTTGCATTGGTCTGCTGGCAAAACTCGACATGAACATATAAAATGAACAACATCAGCAAGAACAAATAAGCGCAAATGAGCGGAAACAAAGGCCAAGGACTAGCAGCTTGAGGTGTTTGTTCTTGTACAACCTGAGTTTGGTCGGCAATTTGTAGTCGGAATAAAAAGATCATCCGCGTTGAAGGGTCATTAAGCTTGCGGCAAAATCGATGAGAAGATGGCAAAAGCACTGTAGTAGACTACCTCTATCCACCTAGCAGAAACGGAAGTGCTATCATTTGCGATGGCTCAACCTTTTCTAACGCTGGTTGTGGTGGTGGTGGTGACATTGCCATCCTCCCACTGCAGTCGTCACTTCTAGTGCGGTCAATGCCGATGAAAAAAACCTCTTGATGAGTGGCCCCACACTGATGGCTAAAGGCCATCAGGAGCAAAACAACTGCACATAGGCCGCCTTTCTAAGAGCTTCAAAGCATCCGAGTTGTAAAAATACACGACAATTCCAGAAAAGTTACTGTGCAAGTTTGGCTTCCGCTCACCCGAGAAGACCACCTGTGTTTCTCCATGTTCACCCCATGCCTGAGTCTGGCATGTCTCACAGAATGCATGACTTGCTTTCAAATGTTGCATAAATAAAGCACAATAAAGCCATGTTTAGCTTCTGTTAGCCACCTGAGTGGCAGAGAAGTAAGGGGATGGCTCAGCCAGAACCTCCTCGGTCTTTAGTGCCACTAAAACACCCAATGCAGCACCTGGGCAGAACACACCAAGAATTCAAGCCCTCCCTCAACCTTCACCAGAACTCAACGCTTCTAAGGGATTCATGGTTCTTGATGAATTCTTGGAGGGAGACTTGAGCTGAATGGCTAAAAAGGGGACATGGGGACACTATGGGACACCTAGATCACCTAGTGAGTTGGACCTTGGCTGGACAGAACCAGGTTCGCCGTGACAGTATCAAAGTTCTACCCAACGGTCCCAACGGTGCCAACGGTCCCAACGGTCCCAACAGATTCGCTTTGTGCCTGCTGGTTCCTAGTCTTCTGCTGGGTTTTGTTGCCTGCTCTTTACAAATATCATAATTCATAATAATTCAATATAATATAATTCATACAATGTCTTAGTTATCAATCTTTTTGCTTGTCCTGCCTGACAGCAAATCATCTGCACAGTGATGCTACTACAGTAACAAACACACCGATGTCTTGTCACTATATGCTTTGGGGATCTTTAGGGACCCTGTGGAAGTTCCGGAGCCTACAAAGACACTCCACACACGACTATTCGCTTGGCGCCTACCGAAACTCGCATCCCATCCATGCCCTTGAAGGCTGCGAAAGCACCAATGCATCCTGCCTCGATGCAGTCAATAGACTATAAGCTAGTGAAAGCTCCAAGTGGACTGCCTCAGTCTCTGCTTTGACATTCTACAGTTGAGTATCTTTGCAATGACACAAAAGCATAGCTTCCAACAATCTCATGCATTCCACTACATTTTGTGACCTTGGCATCAATAATTTGGCATCATCTGGCACCATTGACATCTTGTGACCGACCCTTTGCTCCTCCAAACCCACAATGTATCGAAGAATGTTGTCATCTTTGCTGCCCAGCTCCTGAGCTCGACTGCCGAGGAATGGTTGAGATGGATTGAACAAGATCGAAATAGATCATTGTTTATCTGAACGAGGTAACGACGCAACGAAATCTCACTAATCACTATATAATCAAATGAAAATAATCAGTAACTAATCCAATGAAAGCAAGATTTCTCTGACCCCGTCTGTGGCCATCAGAGTCTCTAAGCTTAGCCTCGGGCCCAAGAGCTAGAGACTTGGTTCATGGCCATGCTAGCAACCACTACAAAGACCGCGCCTCAGCAAGCGCGGAGCCGCTCTTTGCCAGAAAGTTTTAGTCTACTTCGGCGAATGCGAGTGGCAAGTCTTGCTGTTTCTGAACCAACGGATCAACGCATTCGAAGGCCATCAATTTACTCTCCAAACAGGCTGAGACCCATTTTTTGCGAGTAGGCCGCGCACTTGCGATCAGCCACCGCAAACAGAACTCCCCGTCAAAGACAAGAACACACCCAAAGACAAAGGCCTCAAATTGCAGTCTGCGCATGCAGAGGTGCAGCCGCAGCGTCAAACTTTCTCTCCCAGGGCTCCACACAAGTGCTGCCACCACTGGTTGGTACCTCTGGCAGCCGCGAGTGCTTCTAGACTGGTTCCACAAGGGCCACCAACGAATGGCCTTTCAGTTGCTTAGAGACCAGGGAAGAATCAATACGAGGTCAGCGAAGCCATCAAATGCTGGTCACTTTTTGTTCTCCAACTCACTGCGAATAGCCTCCCAGCAAAAGAACAGTAAAAATTGGGTGACTGATCTGACTGTGAAAAAAATATTGACTGCGGACTGAAAATGGCAAATGGAGATATCCAAATGGATGGATAGGTTACATCAGTATACAGTATACATCAGTTGCGTCAGTCACGTCGAGATGTTCATGTCCGGGTTGGGCCGGATGCCGGGTGCCTTTACAATCTCCTCCAGAGCAGCTGGTGCAGAAATATCGCTGTCGACGGCAACCTCACTAAAAGCATCCAAGTCACTTCAAGGCAAACATAGTCAAAAGGGTAGGAAATTGTTTGGGGATTTTTTTTTTTTAGTTTGGGGATTTTTTTTGGATTTCCGGTTCTCACCATTTTCCATGCTATTTGCAGCATTTTGGAGCTGGAAACTGCCGTTTCCACGGTATGTGCAACGGTTTTGAGTTCGAACCTCTCATTTTCCATTGTATTTTCCACGGTATTTGCAACAGTTTGCAGCATGTTCTGTCCATTTTCCATGCTCTTTGCAGCATTTTTGAGCTGGAATCTGCATTTCCACCGTATGTGCAACATTTTACAGCTACATTCCTCACAGTACTTGCAGGATTTTGGAGCTGAAGGCTGACATTCCAACAGTTGTTTGTTGTTACTGTTACTGTTGTTGGTGTTGGTGTTGGTGTTGTTGTTGTTGGTGGTGTTGTTGTTGTTGGTGGTGGTGGTGGTCGTGTTGTTGCTGTTGTTGTTGCTGTTGTTAGTGTTAATGTTAGTGTTGTTAGTGTTGTTAGTGTTGTTAGTGTTGTTAGTGTTGTGTTAGTGTTGTGTTAGTGTTGTGTTAGTGTTGTGTTAGTGTTGTGTTAGTGTTGTGTTAGTGTTGTGTTAGTGTTGTGTTAGTGTTGTTGTTGTTGTTGTTGTTGGTGGTGGTGGTGTGTTGTTGTTGTTGTTGGTGGTGGTGGTGGTGGTGGTGTTGTTGTTGTTGTTGTCGTTGTTGTTGTTGTTGGTGGTGTTGTTGTTGTTGTTGTTGTTGTTGGTGTTGGTGTTGTTGTTGTTGTTGTTGTTGTTGTTGTTGTGGTGTTGTTGTTGTTGTTTGTGTTGTTAGTGTTGTTGTTGTTGTTGTTGTTGTTGCTGTTGTTAGTGTTGTTGTTGTTACCGTTAGTGTTGTTAGTGTTGCTAGTGTTAGTGTTGTTAGTGTTGTTAGTGTTGTTAGTGTTGTTAGTGTTGTTAGTGTTGTTAGTGTTGTTAGTGTTGTGTTAGTGTTGTTGTTGTTGCTGTTGTTGTTGGTGGTGGTGGTGTTGTTGTTGTTGCTGTTGTTGTTGTTGGTGGTGGTGGTGTTGTTGCTGGCGGTTGCGTTTGTGTTGATAGTGTTGTTATTGTTGTTGTTGTTGTCGTTGTTGTTGTTGTTGTTCTTGTTCTTGTTCTTGTTGTTGTTGTTGTTGTTGTTGGTGTTGGTGTTGGTGTTGGTGTTGGTGTTGTTGTTGTTGTTGATGTTGCTCCACACCTCATGGAAAAGCAAAAAAGCAAAGAAAAGCAGAAAAACGAGAAAAGCAAAAAAAGCAAAGAAAAGCAAGGAAAGCAAAAAAGCAAAAAAGCAAAGAAAAGCAAGAAAAGCAAAAAAGCAAAGAAAAGCAGAAAAGCGAGAAAAGCAAAAAAGCAAAAAAACAAAGAAAAGCAAAGAAAAGCTAGGGAAGCAAAAAAGCAAAAAAGCAAAGAAAAGCAAGAAAAGCAAAAAAAGGAATAGAAGCAAAGAAGCAGAGAAGCACTGCAGGAGGCAATAGAGTAAGCAGGAAGAAATCCAAAAAAAAATCCCTAAACTAAAAAAAAAAAAACTAAATAAATGGCCCTCCATACTTTAACGTCCAGTAGTTTATAAGACATTATACTTAGATTTTCAAGCTTCAATTGATTGACCTTAGAAGAAGCAAGAGAATCGGGGCGGGTGACTCCAAACGTCAAAAGATTCGAAAGCAAAAAGTATCAAGAAGCTCCACATTCTCGAATGGAATTGTTAAAATGAACTAAAAATGCAAAAATGCACAAACCATGAATTGCAATGAATTGCATTAAAATTCAGCTTTGACTGGGTATTTCTATGTATTTCTATATCCAAGGCCAGCACTGGAGCTTCTGAAGCACCAGAGTCCCCATCTTTGCCCGAGTCGGAGGAGGCAACCTTTGTTCTGTTGAGGCTGTGCGCCGTGTGCGCAATGGAATTGCACGTCGGCTGGGTTGGAAGCAAGAATCATCACTACTTTCACTACTTCATATCAAAGCCAGATGAAGTGCCCCAAGAAATAGCGGCATGTCTGTGGCAAAGGAACCAAAGCAGATTCCACCCCTCCATGGCTACCAGTTTTGTGCACTTTACTCTACTTCAGTGAATCAAAGGAAGGGCAAGGCGGGCAAGGCAACCTGCAGCACATGCCTAACAAGGCCACCGTGACAGTACGGGACAGCCGCACTTCAAGAATATGGATACCCACCAGCTTCCCCATCATATCGCCGTGCGACCGCAGGAGCTGCAGGAGAGGCCGAGTCATCATGATGCGCAGCTGAATCTGCCACCTTGGTCAATCTGCAGCTGAATCGAATTAAAGCAATCAATTCTTTGCAAGGCCTAAGCGAATACCGAATGCGAGAAAGTCTGTGTGCTGGCCGCCCTGCCCTGCTCTGCTTTTAGATCTTTTCGCTCCTTTTGCACGCAAGGCCCAGAAGCGTTTTGGAGGTTGTCTTGGCTGCTATAATTGGCAATACACCCAGCACTCTTTTGAGCAGCGCTTGTCGGCTCACTTTAAAAAGCAAAAGCAGAAGCGTTCTCACGCCGCCTCGTCAAGCAGTAGATTGATCTTCACTACCCGCTTCCTGGTCTGCAAATAAATCTCTGTCTCCGTTCTTTCCAACGAAGGCATCAGGCCTCGAAATTCCTGAGGGCCACCAACATGCTGACAAAGTCCAAAACCGAAGTCCTACAAGCCTCCTATCCTGGGCTGCTTTGGCAAACAAAAGTTCTCGTCTTTCGTCACTGCCTTTACCTCCTCTTTGGGCTTTATTTTCTCAGTCTGAAATTGGGAAGTCTTCGTGATCTGCTCCATAAATCGGTCACAACACCTCCTTCACAGCCAGCTCAGTAGCACGCCAAAGGGCCTCAGCCGCACTTTGGTCTGTTGAGGTCTTGGACGGCTCTTGTGGTTTGGAGCAATGCCAATACAATGGAAAGTGCTCAGATAGAAGGCTCTTGTCACCACTATGCTGGGCTTCCTGTGCAGCTGAGATAGCTCTCATGACATGCTGTGCACCCTCCGCAGGGCTTTGGAAAGATTTGCTGGCTAGCCATCGCACCACTTGACCAAGAGGATCAGGTACAGATCGAAAGATCCCTGTATTCACCAAGCCAGGTGAGACGGCGACACTCAAGGGGCCCGCAGGATACTTCCGCCGCAGCTCGGCAGCAAACATGACATTGCATAACTTCGAACGAGCATACCGAGCATACCACCCCAAGCCAATAGCATGGAGCAGTCGACTTGTGAGAGCCTTCTCCTGGTCGTCTCCAATCTGAATCTCCTGCACCAGTTTCAACTTCACCAAAGAAAAACACAACTTTGACAAATTTCAAATGCCTCAAGCCATCCCTAGAGAAGCTACAAACAGAAACTGTGACGTTTCCGAAATGTCCTCTCCCTGGCTCAGAGCGAGAGATCCTTGACGATGCGCCCTACTTGCCATAACTACAATCACCGAAGATGTCGGATCCATACTTGGCAACAGCAGTTGAGTCAACATGGAGTGGCCACAGTGATTCGTACGCATCTGGAGGTCCACTTGTGAATCTGCGAGATCTGATTCTTTGCTGTCTGCCATTGTGCCGCCATTGTTCACCAAAATGATTTGCTGCTTGTCAGCAGTTTGATCAGTTTGAATGTCTTTGCCAAATCTCTGGATGGACTTGGCACTTGTGAGGTCCAAGAGCTTGCACACCATCTTTCGCTGCATCTCCATGCAATGCCTGCGCCTGGCTGCCCTCAGACTTGACCTTTGTACCGAAGCTCGACCCATTGTTTCAGTTTCAAGGGTCGTTTCAAGCTCTTGAACACATCGACGGAAGAGCTGCTGGCGAGTCTTCTCACAACGTTCCAAGCTACGACAAGCCATGATGACTTCTGCAGCCCCAGCTTCAGCGAGGCTGTGGACAACTTCAGCTCCCATCCCGGAGGATGCGCCCGTCACAATACACCGCCCGGTCACACGTGGAGCTGATGGCCCCGGGGATCCCGGGGATCCCGGGGATCCAAAGAAAGTGGCTTCGCGTCGACGAACACCCAATATACCCAGAAAGCCTACAGTGGCGAGACCCACACCATCCCAAGATCTTGCCTTCACAAAGACCATGGCATAAACTTCCACGGCAAAAACTGGGAGTGGACAGGCTATGCTAAGAACTCTTCATTTTGCTTTGATGTGTCTGATGTTTCTGATGTCTCGTCGTGTGAGAAGATGATAGCATTACATATGGAAAGTCCTGCAGGATCCTTAAGGTATTAGGAGTTTCTGCTTTTTCGCCGATGCCGACTGTTTTTCCTGGTAAGACTCCTGCTTCATGAGGAAAAGTCGACTTGCCCGCTGACAAGCCAAGCAGCACTGAGTAACTTTTCTCTGGTTCGCAGTGGAAAGAAAGAGTTGTTGAAAACTCTGTCGAGATAAAGTGCTCTGAGAATGCTGCTCCAAGATCTGCCAGCGTCACGCATGGCATGAGTGCGGCCAGCAACAGGATGTGGCATCGCCACCGAAGCCTGGGATCAAGATCTCACAAAACCATCAGGCACATGAAGAATTCTGAAGAATCATTAATCTCCCAATCCTATATGCCAGGTACCCCCGGTACCCCCTCACCCAGGCAACCTCTGCGGCATTGGAAGGCCACCCATGGGCCACACCCCCGCGTCAAGCCTGAGGTTCCGCAAAACTTGCCATATCCGTCACATCCGTGGCCAAAAAGGGCACTGGGATTTTGCAAAGACACGCAGCAATGCAGTTGCGGGAACGAAAGCCCTCAAGGAAAGTTCACAGAGAGAAAACTCAATTGTCTCTTTAAAGAGAAGATTCCCAAAGGATCTGACAGGCCGACACCAAAGACAACACAACATGGCACCAGTCCGCAGCTGCAACTGACGAAACAGTGCAGGAGAAAATGAGGAAAACTGCAAGGAGTCTGCCAAACACATATTGATATTGAAATAGACTCAGCATAAACCAAGCGGAGAAGCTTCTGAGGCTCGATAATAAGCTGTCTTGAGGCTACAAGTTTGAAGGGACATGGCAACGGCTCAGTAAAAGCAGGGCGCCAGACTGAGATCCTACGGTAGATGGAGAAGGCCGCCAAGACTGGTGAATGCAAAGGTGCGTACGGATACTGGGCTCCCAGCGTTCGGTCGAGTGCTCACTTGGAGTTTCCACTACCAGTACGCTGAGCCATCAAATGTCGCACCAGTCACATAGGCAAGGCTCACTGCACCGGAATCCCTCAAGCTGGAACAAAAGCACAGCCAAGCACAACCATCTATACTGAATTGTTGCAAAAGGATGCAAAAGGCACCTCAGGCACCTCCAACAAAAGATACAAAAGCTTAGAAATGACATGAAATGACTAGAGTTGCTCGGAATTTGATGACTTCGAATTGGTTGGTGGATCCTCCATCTGCGGAAGCATCGCCACTGCGCCAGTAGCAGTGATCCTTGCACTGCTCGACCCCGGGAATACAAACAAATGGATAAAAATGGCAACAGAATTTTGATGATTCCTGGAAGGTCTCGGATCAAAACTATATGCAAGCTGCTAAGTCTGCTAAGTCTGCTAAGTCCCCGGCTCAGGCTGAAACACTCGTCCCAGACCATTAGAAACCTCTGAAGAATGAACACTGTATAGACTGTAAAGTTTACTGTAAAGCATGAAAATGCATGAAATGCACTCGTTGGTTCATCGTCTCCCTGGCACCTCTGAAGACTCTGGACGGAAAGACGTGCGACCAGGAGTGCGCAACAAGGATCCACCAGAACACCTTCAGGAAGCCAAAACATCATTCTACAAGGTCCACAGGCTTAAGAAAACGTAACAATAACTTGCTTGAAAAATGCGACGTCAAAGAACTCAAACCAGGTATTTCCCAACAAGGTGGTCAACGACTGTTGCTTTGCTTCGAGAAGACTCGGACAGCAACATTGAATACCGATCCAACAGCAACTGGGATTGATAGAGTGCCCAAAAGTCCAATCTTTGCGCAGTAGGTTCAGCACTGCATGCCGAAACCATCCGCCGGTGCGACAGGCAGAGAAGGCTGCGCCATAGCTCTGGAGTGGTTGTAAGATTTTGCACGGCCAACTGAAAAAGTTTTGATGGCAATATTTACGCCAAACCCAATGCAGCACGAGATCAAAATGGAAGCAGATCTGGATGCCAAGTCATGACTCTCTTGGTCCGAAGGTACAGAGCAAAATGAAACAAGACACTTTCATATCAACTGCAAACGGAAACCCGCTGTTCCATTCCACTGCTGAAGCTTATTAAGTGCACACTGTTGTCAGCCATCCTTTGAAACAGCTTTGCTCAAAGGCCCAACTAGGGTGCGACCCTGAGCACCCTGAGAACTCTCAAAGGGTATCTCAAGCGTGTCACACAACGAGAGAACTTTGTACAAATGCCTTAAGGCCTCATTGTCCCAAAGAAACCAATCGAGGCGCATAATCAAGCATGGATTTCTATGCAATCACAAATTTGCTGTGCATCTCGATGGATCCAAGGACAAAGAATAGAAGCAATTGCTACTTGCATTTGCTACTGTACTTCTGCTACTTGCAATCTACTTGCTATGCTTCGCATTTGCTTCGCATTTTCACTTGAATGCCGGAAGTCCAGTGAGTGCCCGGCCTCTCGGTCACAACAAGGCCATTTTTGCAAGCCCAAGGCCTTCCCAATCTACTGCAATCAGCACATGAAAACCTCCTTTTTTTGTCTGCAAAACAGCCTAAAACCAGCGCGTGAATGTCAGCCGTGCCCTCGTAGGTGTTGACCGCCTGAATTTCGTAGCGAAATATCCTTATGAATCTTATATTGTTGTCATTGGATATGTCGGCACTTCTAGATCCACGCAGAGAAGAAAGGAGCCTCCAGGTTGCAGACATGACGGATAATGTGGTACTCATCCACAATTCCATTTCCTGCACGCATGGCATGCGAATGTTCAAAACGAAGTATGAAGTCAGCAGCAAGTTATTTGGGTTTTGGACACTTCATTCAGAACTTCACAACACTTCTGGTACTAACAAAAAAAGAGGAGGCAGCAAAAAGATGAAGCAATGTGGGAGAAGTTTGTTGCACTTGATCTTTACAGGTTGCATATCTTTATGATGTTCAGATCTAGGTATGTGATTCTGGCTGATTCTGGCATACTGTGGGTGTATCACATGTGCCATGGTCAAAAGATGGTGTATGTTTTGCGGTCATCGCATATTGGGAATCCATGCAATGGGCAATGGATAGATGACCATCCCCCTATAGGATTTTTGACCATGGCACATATGTATACATATGTACTTAGTGAGTTATATAATGCATATTTCAAAACAGCTCAATATATTTTGATAGTTGTTTAATAATTTTATTGTGCAATCGATACCTCAAGAGACTGCTAAGCACTGCCACCCTTCGAAACCTGCTGAGAACTGGCACATGTCGCAGTCCCGTGGGGTCCTCCAAGCATGTCGCGACAGGTGCGAGCGATCTCCAATGCCTGCAGAACGAACACAAATCACTTCCCACCAGAGCGAGTCACCAGTGCACTGCCAGTGGACCAGTCATCAGAGCGAGAACAGCATGGGAATCCGACTCAAGTATGACATGAGCGGCATGAATGATATGAGCGTGCTGAGAAATAGGTTTTAAGGAATTGTAAGATATGAAGAAATATACTTCTGCAATTTCAAGCAGCATTTACAGGATTGAAAAGAGGAATCTCTGGCCTTGCTGCAAGAGTTGCGTTTCATCATCGAAATGACATTCGAGTGAAGCTCGCCCGACTGGCAGCATTGCAAATTAGAATGTGCTCCGATACACCATTAGTACGTATATAATACCAGTAGTACCGCACAAGGCGGTGGCGGAAGTTTCAAAAATAGGAAACCTATAGGAGAAGTTGGTTGTTGTGAATCAGGGATGGCAGAGCGAAGCCACTGATGGATCGAAAGATGATTGATCTCTCACAGTCTTTCTCTGACTATCTACCTATCTACCTATCTATCTATCTATCTATCTATCTATCTATCTATCTATCTTCGGTGCAGTGTCATTCAGTGTAATGTAGTGTAGCGTAATGTAGTGGAATGTAGTGGAGTGTAGTTGTGTAGTTGTAGATGAAGTGTTGTGGGGTGTAGTGTAGTGTAATGTAGCGAAGTGTAGTGGAAGGAAGTGTAGTGCAGTGCAGTGTAGTTGTAGCGTAATGTAGTGTAGTGTAGTGGAAGTTAAGGTAGTTGAGTTAGTGAAATTAGTTAAGTTAATCAGTGTCTACTTGTTCGACATCTTCACGTCAAAAAAGGCTCAAAACCCTCAGTTTTTTACACGTTTGACTTCGAAATGTGCTTCGCGCCACAACGGCGTGCGCTTTTTCGACACTTTTTCGACATCCGAACCTCCAAAAGTGGTCCGAGACCGTCAGTTTTTAACACGTTTGACTTCAAAATGTGCTTCGCGCCACAACGGCGTGCACTTTTTCGACATCTCAACTTCCAAAAGTGCTCCGAGAATGGTGTGCTTTGTACATTTTGACTTCAAAATGTGCTTCGCGCCACAACGGCGTGCGCTTTTTCGACATCGCAACTTCCAAAAGTGGTCCGACCATGGTGTGCTTTGTACATTTTGACTTCAAAATGTGCTTCGCGCCACAACGGCGTGCACTTTTTCGACATCGCAACTTCCAAAAGTGGTCCGACCATGGTGTGTTTTGCACATTTTGACTTCAAAATGTGCTTCGCGCCACAACGGCGTGCACTTTTTCGACATCTCAACTTCCAAAAGTGGTCCTCCTCTAGTGTTTTGTCCATTTTGACTTGGAAATGTGCTTCGCGCCACAACGGCGTGCACTTTTTCATGTCTCATCTGGCCAGCTGGCTCCGCACCCGCCGCTTTAGCGAGCCTACTTTTCGACCCTCCGGAGCCACAAATCATTGGAAAAACACAGTGAATCGCGACTTTCCTATCTTTTCGCGCATCTGCATCTTCTTTCTTCTGATCTTTTCTCTTCTCTCTGCCTCTTCCCTGCTCTGCGTTTCAACTGTCCATATTGTCGGAAGTTTAGCTTCTAAACTTCCTTCGATGAGTCCACCATGAATTAATATGAATTTATAATCATGTTGCAACAGCGGCAACTTTGCCATTTGTGTACTCTGTGCTGTCACTGTGATTTCAGCTCTTTTCAGCTCTCAGTCTTCAGTGTAGCCTCTTTCATCCGTGTGGCTTGAAGCACTGCATTTAGGCCAATGGTGATCTCCTTGGGTGAACAAAGCATCGATGTGTTGAGAAAATTTGATAAATATAAAGAACATTCAAGAAATGCACTCTGTTGATACGAAGAACATCGAAGAACTCATCCGCTATCTTGAGACAGAGACAGTCAGCGCATTGGCCATCTTGAACTGAACCTGGTGAGCAATTCACGGCACTCAAAATAGCTGAACCATACACAAATATTATTTGTAAGCCAAAGACTGACCCTGACAGCTTTACAATCTACTTGCCAGACCTAGGGGGCTACATGTGAAGATTGTCCGCAACCTCTTTTCAATCGGTTGCCCGGGACACGGGATCGGCAACAGTGCCATCCACCGATAAACCATGTGTTGGAGCCTCTTGGATCGCGTATTCACGCATAATACGCATACATATATCATCACAATTAATCACATATCATACACCTGTAAACGTCTATGTCAAAAGGGAAGCTGAATTTATGTCAGGCTTGGTGGCCCAAGGGGCTGGCCCTCAAACACGGGCACCCATTTCCTGAACCCATCCACAAGAGAAGCTTTTCGATTATCTGGAGAAATGCGCTTCCATCTTTCTGCAAAATGCTCCTCATCCTGTTTGAGTGCGATATCGCAATCTAGGTTTGCTGGGGTAGCATGGAACCTCCTCTTTGCAAACGCAAAAGGATGCTTCGTTCTGAAGACGGATGAATATGTCCATCACAATCCTCGTTCCTGATCTACAATACTAATAAGTACTAATCATAATCAATTATATAATCATATATACTAGTACAAACATGAATCGCGGCAATCACACGCCTGACGGTCACAGTCTCGTCACAGTCCCGTGTCCCTTCGTGCCGTGGCGCACCAATTGATTTGCCGCTAAAGGCCATCCGAACTGCTGCCGATCCATGGTGTACCGCCTGCACAGAAAGATGGGCAAAAGAAGGCAGAAGCTCGGCAGAAGATTTTCTAAAGATTTCTCATGTCAGGTTACTTCAAGTTCTTTTTTGCAGGGAATGACATTGAATGTATGGCATTTGTTAAAAGTTCTTTTGCCTTTCTGTCCTTCGACTCATTCACAGTCTTCCTCGATATTGGAGGTTGATCGGACATTCCTTTGTTGATCAAATGCTGAGACGTTCTTTTGGACCTCCAAAGTCAAGACCTCACATCATGATAGTGTCTGATAGTGGGTACCTCGCACTCTCGAGGCAGAATTCAGCAGCACCCCAAGCGCCCCAGGCAATACCTAACAAGTCTCGTCTGAGACATGCGCAGAATCGCAAGGCAATATGCCATCAATATGCCATCAATATGCCATCAATATGAAACATTCTGTGAATATCTGTGAATCCTACGACGTCCTACAAGAGCTTGACATGAAACTTGTGTGTCAAGATTTGTGAACTTGTGACTTGTAACATTCTTGAAGCATTCTGTGAAGTTTCAAAATTCAGGGCACCAAGGCGAGCAGAATTCAAACAAGCAAAAGGTCCTCGCATCCCTGTCACCCCAGGCCTCAGCATGTGGATGCAAAAGGATATAATAAGATGCAATATTGTTCAATAAGATGCAAAAATTTAAAAAGGATATAAGTGTAAAGTATAATATTATAATATATATATATTATATATATATGTATGTATGTATGTATATATGAGACGCCCTAACCACAACAAAAACTAGACTTTAGTTGCCCGACAAAAACGGTAAAGCCGCGTACCATATATATATAAGTTGTTCAAGATTATTGGAGTGTATTGGAGTATGATACATAGATGAGGAGTCTGACAGAGTGCAACAGCAAAGCAAATGCTGAGCTGACTGAGTTGATTGAGCTGGCAGCAGGACATTTGACTTAGGTACTTTGACTTCGTCCAACTGAATCATGCCCTCGGGACTTCAAATCAAACTGATAAACTGACTTTGCAAAACGGTAAAGCCCAATGCTGTACATTGACGGTAGCCATTGTAAGAATAGAAGGCATTCACCACCTGGTTATCATGCGCTATCATCCTGCAATTTTTTCAGACCTCAAAGTTGAGCTCTGGACAGTGGGTGAGGCTCTTAACGAAAATTTGCCCTCAATCTTTGGAGTAGAGAGGCCCTGCGATTTAGTTTATGCAACGACTTGCAATGGCTTTTACAATGACTCTTTCACCCACTTCCTACAGAGTTGCCTCAGCTACTTTTACACCCACGAGGATGTGAAGTTGATTAACATCAAGGCGCAAAACAAGATCCCTCGCGTTTGTTGAATTCAGCTTTTCACCACACCACAGTGATTCTCGGGATCCACCTGCCTCCATGCTTCGTTCAACGAGAAAACCGCGGACCTCTCAAGGACCCAGTGCAGCCGCAGGACATTGTCAGCTTCACATGGCCACATGAGCAAAACAACACTTGTTGCTCAGACGGCGATGTCTCGAGGCCTTTTCATCCGTGTCGGTTTTTGCCCAAACCTCTAGATCGAGGGACAAACTTGGCTTAAGCAAGAAGCTCACAGTATTCAAGGCCCTTACTAAACAAATGTCAGCAATGGGAGAGTTGGTAATCCAGTTCTTGGCCCCGCTGAGCACGTAGTGATCTCCCTGCGTCACAAAGCACTCTTGAATAAGTTTGACAAATGTAAACTATGAAAAAGTTTCACAAAGCAAATCTGTCCTGCTGCCTTTCTCAACGTGCTGTGCTTGCTAGTATTAGTATTGTTCAAAAGCAGCAGCAAACTCAAACTCCTTTCACCTTGTCATGCGCACGAGTCTTCATGCCACTAGGATCTGAACCTTTCTGTCAACAGAAAGTGCAGGTTGTAACTTGGAAAAGACTTTGATTCTGATGGTCGTGTTGTTTCGCGCAATGCACAGGATCCAGCTCCTATTTGACTTTGCCAATTAAACAAGATTAGAAACAACCAACCAACCAAACAATCAAGCAACACAAAATTGACTCGTACCTACTAGTACAAACTGAACCTGACCTGGCGAAGGTTCTTTGGGTTTTTATTCTTTTGTGCTTTCAGAGGTCAGCACCAGACACATACAAACACGGGTTAACACATACAAACAAGGACCAGGCCGTGGTCTGGTTCAGTGAGCCCAAAGCAGCCTGTGCATCGTCAGAAAGTAAAAGCTAAGTCATTCTGCACGATACAAAACGCATCGTTCAAACAGAAAAGAAAAAAATACACAGATTGCACACAGATCATTTCAGTTGGTTCAAATTGTCCAACTGCTTCCAGAAGAAATGAGTCAGGTTGATTCTGCTACTTGTGTCATTCCAGTGTCACTGCGGGTCAGTCAAACGCAGTTCCCCATTCTCCTCTAAATATACACAATACAAATCAGTACAAGATGTCTAAGAAATTTGCCAATCAAATCTCCGGTCGCCAGCCGCGGAAGGAAGCGCTCCTTCTGCTCCTGGATTCAAAACAGTTCAAGGGGCGCTGGGCTGGGTACACTGGGTACATCACACATGCAACAAATGCTGGCAGTTGTCTGGCATGCTGGGCTTGTTCAACGTCCTCAGACCCAAACAAGTTGATTGGGTGCATGACCTGAAACAAAGTCTTCTCAAAAGTCACTTTGTGTCTCGGCAAGTCACAAGAATTGCTTGGGCACAGACCAAAGATGACTGCACCGAAAGAGTCGAACGATAGGCAGAGTCAACCTTCTCAACCTGCAATTCAAATGCAAAGGTTCAAGCAAACTCCTTTGAGTTTTTTTCTGAAGCCAATTGTTTCATATTGCTTCCACTTGCACCTCTCGCGCAATCAGACCATAAGCAGTTGGAGATGCACCAGCACATCCGTAGCCTGGTCCAATGAATCAGTTTGTTCGTGATCGAACCCTGCGCGGCATGAAACGTGCCCATCCATGCCATGGATGGCCAGGCCAACTGGGGCACACGCCATGAATGAAGGAGCCCAAGAGGCCGGCACTTCCCATGGCCTGTCGATCATTCTGGGCATTTCGCATTTTGCATGTGTTTGTATAATTGTGTATATATGTTTGATTATTTTTGTACCATTTCACATCAGTTGCATCGGTTGTCGACCGCTTGGTCACCGCTTGGTCACCGGTTGGTCTGGGCCTTGAAAATGCCTTGGTCGAAGTGCTCCTCACGGAAGCCCTTTAAGACCTTGCAAGGCAGTCCCGAGCAATTCCGAGTGAGATCCAGTGAGATCACTTCGTAGATTCTAATTTTTTTACAGCATTTCTGCAGCACAAACATCTGGAAACAAGGTCTCCATGGGTCTCCATAGGTCTCCCATGTCTCCCACAGATTCTCAAAATTTCTCAAATGTCAAAGGTCACACAGAGTGCAGCTATGAGTTGGACTCTGGGCATCAACTCAGATTCTGCAAATCGCTTCGCCGTCTCCTTGATCAGCATCTCCTCGTAAGCACTCAACAAAGCCAACTTCATTAGCCGAACCGTTTCGTAACTAAACTCTGTGAATTGGGAGCATATATCAAGTCAATTCTTAAATTTTGTTGAGTCATTTAGAAGTAGTTTACACTCATCTCAAGCAAGGTATAATGACTATCTGAGCTCAATCAGCAATCTTTCAGAGGCCCTCTGACCTCTTCGCTGAAGCGCCTGTCCAGCAACAGCATGTCCTTTTGCAGTTCGAAACTCCACAGACTTTGCTGGAGAAGAGAATGAAGGGTACTCAAGCGATTAACAGTAGCCGCTAGAGAGTCCTTCCAATGCAAATCGAAGTCCTTGGCATTGAGAACTGCAACCATCTCTGACATCATCTGACATCACATTATCTCTAGGCAGAATCATGTTGTAATAGCTGCCAAGTCTCCCAATCAAATGGATCTGCGCCAGGCTTGGCAGTTTCTAGACCAGACCAAAGGCTTGACCCGACCGTTGGCACCGAGACCTGGTTCACCAAGGTGCCTCATGAGAAGATGGAAACGGAAACGACAGAAACGACATCCGAGACATCCCGAGACATCCCGAGACATCCCGAGACATCCCACGGTATCCAACAGATTCATACAGATTCCAGCAGTGTCTGACGGTCAAAGGCAGGTCTTTCTGTATTTTTCTGTGCACCGAGGCCAGCACTTTGGCAACGCCGTATCACATGTTGCCGGTCACGGAGGGCAATGGAACCTGAGCGAAATCAGCATCAGGACAGCTGGTTGAGAGTTCTCAGCAAACTGCAGAAATCAAAATTTTAGGTCCCAAACGAGCAGCTCCAAGCGCGGACATTGCAATGAATCGCTGTCGTGTCCACACGTTATTTCTTGAGTAGTTGACACATCTTCCTTCTGTTGATCCCCAACACAACCTGAAATTTAAGAATAAGGCTAGTAGTTGCAACTATCTTTCTGCAGGTACAAAAAATCGAATCTGGTGGCAAGTCACAAAGCAAATATCCTCACATGAGAAGCGTAAACCTCCATGTACTGCAGTAGGATTCACATTCAAAGAGTGCTCTTTGAAAAACACGGGCAGGACCAAAAACCGTTTGCTGTTCCACGTGTCTTAGGTGCCATACGTAGCATGGTTGGTGAGCCTGGGAAGTTTCTTTGAAAGGTCTGCAAGATCAAAGCAACAGCGCCACAAGTGATGACAGCATCAGGCTCGGGAAAATTTTATGTATTGAAGAAACTTGCTTGAAAAATGGGAGACCCTTGGCATGTCATCGTCCAGATCTTTAAAAAATCAGAGTACTTACTGAGTCCTCAGTAAGTCCTACCTCTTAGCTCTTCTAGACCAATCTGTGTTTTTTGTGGTGGTAGAAGGCCTTTGTCTCAGCAAATGAAGCAGGTTTACGATTCCTTTCCTCCCGAGATCCTTGTGTCCAGCATTCAGGTGAAAGGCGGTCTGAAATGAAGTCCAGTGAACTAACATGGCTGACTGCACTGAGTTGACAGTGCTGGGACTGTATACAGGGATCGATTACAGTATTAGTTCTATTACTTGTTTGTTCGAGTTTGCTTCGAGTAGGGATCGATGCACACTTTCCAAGCGCAGTCTGGTGTGTTGTGCTGGTGCCACAGTTTTTTTTCGCGCCAACCTCCCCAGCTGTACATGTGACACGGCAGTGACACCATGTGACACGGCACAGTGTCCCATGCCATAAAAGTCCGAGCCAGCAAGCTGCAAAGCTGTGAAGGGCCTGAAACGCCTGCACAATCTGCAAAGCGTGGTGCAAATACTCTGCACATACAATGCTACACATACAGTTTCATACACGACTCATACAAATTTGCCCAAAGGATCTACAAGGAACTGAGCTCTGCCTTTACAGATGTTGCTAAATGTCTTCGTCGAACTCCGTTTGAGCAAGCCCCTGCCAAGATTGGAATGAGAAATTTTGAATTGTTATATGATCTTGTAGCATTGTGGAACGGAAAAAATATGTTTAGAAACGCTCTTCAAGTGATTCTCTGTGTGTCCAACCTGATAGCCCGCATAGTCATCCTCCACACAACGTAGCACGAGCGATCAGGCTGTAGAATGGGAAAGGAATCTACCTTTTCACCAAAGCGGTCCCGGTCCTTTTGACGGTAGTACTCGTTTCCAAAACCAGACACGGCACCAAGCCTATGAGTCAACGTCACAAGAGCTATTCTTTTGCACATGATTAATCCCTGCATCTACCCTCTGGTAATTTAACATAGCTATGGAAAATCACCATTTTTAATGGGAAAATCCACTATAAATGGTCATTTTCAATAGCTACGTTAAATTACCAGAGGGTAATTTTTTTTCCCCAATGTGTAACCAAGGGTTCATGATTTTTTGGTAGGAGGTCTGGGGGTGGAGCCTTGTTTGCTTGGTTTTGTCGTCTGCGGGTGTCTAATTCGCATCTCACTGTGCCTATAGCGGATGCTGCAGAACATGTCGTTTTGGTGTGCCCCATAAGGCAGGCGTGGCAGGCGCGGCATCCGTGGCACTTGGTAAAAATCGGAAGTGAAGTGTAAGAGGTGTTTTTTTGCGCGACTCCCTAACTGCCTCAAAACATCCGTGCCTATGGTGACAGCTGCAAATGATGTTGAAAGTGTATTGTGAGCAGTGTAGAGTTTGGAGTGTGAAGTGTAGTTTGTGGAGTGCGGAGTGTAGAGTGTGGATTCTAAAGTGCGGAGTGTGGAGTGTAGGGCGTGGAGTGTAGAGTGTAGTATGGAGCGTAGTGGAGAGTGCAGAGTGGAGAGTGCGGAGTGGAGAGTGCAGAGTGGAGAGTGCAGAGTGGAGAGTGCAGAGCGGAGAGTGCAGAGCGGAGAGTGCAGAGTGGAGAGCGGAGAGTGTAAAGTGAGAGGTAAAGAGTGTAGGTGTATGTAGGTGTACGTGTAGGTGTAGGTGTATGTGTAGGTGTAGGTGTAGGTGTATGTGTAGGTGTATGTGTAGGTGTATGTGTAGGTGTTGATTGTGGAGTATGTAGTTTAGGGTGTGAAGTTTGGAGCGTGGTTTGGAAAGTGCGGAGTGGGGAGTGTGGAGAGTGTAAAGTGTTGTGTGTGTGTGTGTGGAGTGTGAAGTGCAGAATGCAGGCACTTTGCACTACTGCTGGGGACGTGTTGTTGCAATCCAAGGGTAACTGCAGAGTTGCTGCCCACAAAGGAAGATGTAATACATCAAATACCTGCAAACACTGTAGCAAGGTTCAACCATGATACTCAAGCATGGTTTAAACGTGCTGGCACAGAAAGAATCTACAACCAATACATCTACAAATGAGTTGTTGTGTTGAGATACCTTCAAAATTGTATTATTGTATAAAAAGTATGGATTGAAAGTTAAAAAACAAAGCTGCTTCAAACCCCACAAAACCCCGATCAAAGCTGAAATGTCTACTTGGGATGTGAATGCAAGGACACTTTGCACATATTGATATCTTGTCTTCAAGCTAGTGCTGTGAAACTGAATAGCAACACTTGGCTGGGGTTTTCACAAGATCCCCATTGGATAGCAGTAGTGTTCCTCAGAAACTGTGACTCAGCAGGGTGGCCACCGCAACACTGTCTTTCATTTGTTCCTACAAAACATGATTAGAACAGGACACACTAAATATTTACGACTGTATCTATAATAATGAAAAAAATATTTCATGTACCATACATCATATAACAAGTGTCAAATATTATATACCATACATCATATATCAAATTTCAAACATCAAATCTCAACTTTCAAAAAATGCATATATATGTCTATATATATATATCAATCAATCAATCAATCAATCGATCGATCAATCAATCAATCAATCAATCAATCAATCAAGTTCATGCAACGCACATGTGATCACATGTGCTCCACCCCAATGCAGCGGACCTCTCTGTTTTGACCCCGAAAGACGTGGGTAGTTTGGGGTGCATGATCGATCACTGGTTGATCTGCCAGGATAACATCGATCAAATAAACAAATGCAATGAGAGCAATGAATCAGCTCAGTTGAAAATGTGAGCAATGAATCAGCTCAATCGCAAATCAAACCCCAGAGCAAATCCAACGGGATCTGTTGAAATTGACCCACTCTCAAAATTCTGGAATAAAGAACGAATATGGGAGCTCATCAGCAGTGCGGATCACACAGCGAGAGCAGTGACGAGCGCAAATCGTAGACGATACGTTGGCAGCAGCTGGATTCATCCCGCGTAGATCACGCGACAGCAGTAGCCTCGATCACTAGGCTCGGATTCCGCGCAGGCAGCCCCATCCATGGATCATGGGAAACTGGAGAGTGTGGGGGGGGAAAAACCCCCATCCCGGAAAAAACCAGGGTGGGAGTGGTGGGAGCTGAAAATGGAGAAGATTGATCAATCTGGAGCCAAAATGGCATCAGGATTGATCAATCCTGATTTGCTCAAATGTGATCACTCAGAAATGATTGAACGATCGTTCAAACTGCTCTTCTCAAATCACATCACTGATCTTCACGAAATCAAATGATCTCTTCTCAAATCACATCACTGATCTGCACGAAATCAAATAAACGGATCTTCACAAAATCAAATCACAATAATGAGAAAAGGAAATAAAACACAGAGCTGCCATTGGTGTGGGAAAGAACTAAAGATTGCCCCACTTATCCCAACCTACCAGAGCGTAGATAAGTGAACCAATCAAGTTCATGCAACGCACATGTGATCACATGTGCTCCACCCCAATGCAGCGGACCTCTCTGTTTTGACCCCGAAAGACGTGGGTAGTTTGGGGTGCATGATCGATCACTGGTTGATCTGCCAGGATAACATCGATCAAATAAACAAATGCAATGAGAGCAATGAATCAGCTCAGTTGAAAATGTGAGCAATGAATCAGCTCAATCGCAAATCAAACCCCAGAGCAAAACCATCGGGATCTGTTGAAATTGACCCACGCCGTTCAGAGGAGAGGAAAAATGGGAGCAACAGTTTTCCATCCTAAAGACTCAGCTACCTTCATACGATCGCGCGATGGAGGATCAGCTGGATTTGGCATCAGTCGGAACTCTATCAACATAAAGCTTAACTTTAAGATCGAGAGCAATTTTCCAAAAGACACCTACGAGCTCACAGACGTCTTCACGAGCAGAATAGCCTTTCACTAGCGCTCCTTGAACAGGTTCAGAATCGACCAGAAGGAGCGACCAAGACTCCGCCAACTGACTCGCGAACGTCTTCAGTGCCACGACCGTAGCAAAGAGCTCGACCATTGCGATCTGTGGTTTTCTCGGTCAACCACTTCTTGATCAGAGATTTATCCACCTCGCAGCCAAACTGGAGCGGAACTTCGCCTGTCTTGAAAAGAACACCGCCGATCCACGGCTTCAGAGGAGAACCAGGCTTGCCATCAGGGAAACTACCATCTGTAAACAAAGCAAAATCAGCAGATCGCGGTCTTGTTTCGAGAATGGGCCGAGGTGGTTCCTCGACAATGAGCCATCTTCAGTGTTCTAAAGAAAGGACGATGCAGTGTGGTTGAACTTTGTATATTGTCTTTCCGATAACGATCGCAAAAAGGCTCTTCCAATCTTGCCCCAGAGCTGGGACACCCCGAACATCAGCTTGCCTCTGAGCCTGCCTGCTTGACCTGGTGGAAACACTTGAAACAGAAACAACCAGTAAGCCAGTAAGAGTAAGTTAGGGGATCAGAACTCAACTCTGACTGGGTCCTACCGGGTGAGAGGGATCTAAATGAACAGACCAGAAATTAGGGAGGAATGAGAGGATCAACACAAACCGACCCGGGGAGCCGGATCCTATCGGCAGATCAACCGGCTTCGCTCACCTGATCGGGTGTTGAATTGGAGCCCCCCCACATCACTCCTCCCAGCCGCCGCAATCAGCAGAGAACTAACACTGGGAGATCTAGACAGCTGAGCAGCGGGACTGAAAAAGAGAACTCAATGAGATATGAGCCAGTGTCCTTTTCTCGACCCTATCGGACTGCATCAATGAGATTCAAAAAACACTCCGCCGATCGGCGCGCCGATCCTGCGCACGGAGTTGAAAAACTCAAGATCGATCCATCCACGTGCTGATGTCAAAGAGCAATTCAAGAGCGATGGACTCGACCAGGAAAAAGAGCACTGACCGCCGACAGATCATTCGGGCTTCGGAGGCGAAAAACTCACCGGCCCCTGTGCTGCTGTCGAGCGCGGCGCATCGCTGCTCTGACCTTCAGCATACTGAGCCGCTCCGACCGTCACTGAAGGATGACCAGGCTCCACCTCCTCGATCACAGCGGTGGTGACGTTGCACGATCTGCGCATCATCTCCTCGGCAAAGATCGCCGGCGTAAGGCCAGCTGTCGAGCTAGCAAATCTGCGGTCTTCCCGTGCACGATCGCGCTCTGCATCTTCTACATGGCCTGCTTCCCCCGTGCTGAACACATTGATCTGACGGGTGCTGAACGAGCGGTGATTGAGCTCCATGCCAGTTTGCCGCCTGACCGCCACCACAGTCATGCTCATGGAAGTTGCGGTTGAAAAGCAAAACATTTCAAAGGGCGAAAAATCACGAAGCTCAGTGCAACTCTTTGACTTGCATTGGACGCCTGCATGTGCAATGGATGGAGTTCCCTCCAAGTTCAAGGCCGGTGAACTGCAGCTGCATGAGAAAAAGGAGGGGCAACTCAGACTATGGCAATTATTGTATCTGTGACTACCCTCACTTCCATTAAATAGCGAAACAATTGTTCTTCGTCAGGCTTGGTGCAGGAGACTACCAAGGAATGGACGAAACTGGAAAAGGCATCTAGATTCTCTAGGAAACGAGGGGATGCCCCTGTTCTAATCACTCCAAGACCTGCTTGTGAAAATTGGGGAGTGCAGCGTCTTGGAACTTCTTGCCTGAAGGCATGAGGATGCAACTATTGGTCGCTTCTATACCAAGCTTTGGTCACCTCCAACTCGTGGAAAAAGTCGACTAGCACGTCTATCATGCTTGGCATCCCAACCAAAGTCAACAACTCTCAAAGAAATGACTCGGTTTTGGACATGAGACGAAGGTCGTCTCCGGCTTCAAGTACCACCATCGCAAGCATGACCGCTAGGGTCCCGACTGTCTCCCCTATCGGAAGGGCTCTGCTCTCAGTACCGATGGTTTCTCTGGCACTGGACGCTCCGGCTTTCATGGACCTGCTTCAACAGGTAAACCAACGCTCAATGACAAAGAGACAAGACAGTGGCTCCAAGGTTTAGCCTACCTTATAGTTCATGAGAACGTCTGGACAGTCAAATGAAATACACAAGCATATCGTGAGGCACCTAACAGTAAGGCACTTACCCCTTCAGGTCCCGGTGTTCTCCAACAGCTAAGGGCAAACGAAGATCAGGACCTGACCAGGGTGACACGTCTCCCCTCGATCGCACTGGCATTGTTTAAGAGGTATGTTGCACATGCAACTCCTCTCTTCATGAAAGTACAGCACTTGCTACAGGTGAGTAAGGCACTTGCCCTGTCCTGGTGTTCCTCGAGGAAAGGAGGAGGGAGAGCTCGGTGATCTGTTACCCCCCACCCTGTAAAATTACGCTCACAATATTAGATTAGAAATGGGTTGCACTTGCAACCATCTTCCTCACATGAGAACGTTGGCACCTGCCACTCAAACTGACCCAGAAGACATTTGCGAACGTCAGTCTTGTCTCAAGGTTCGAACACAGGTCCCCAGTGAGCGGAAGTTCTCTACGGAGCTGCTTCACGGCACCTGGAAACAAAATCAAGAAGGGGAGATTGGGAGTGTGTTTCGAAATAACTCTCATGAAGATGGCGGGGATAGAAACTTCGACATATCATAACCTGAGTTCCCGACCGACATGATTTGTGAAAAACCAGGATTTCTTCAAAAAGGGGAGGCACGGCATGACAAAAATCTTAAGCACTCAATTGTCTCTACCAAAAAGCATTTGCAGAGAGCTTGCATCGGAGTCTAAGCAACCTCGCCAAATGGTCTGCGTGTCACCTGCGCGACACTTGCAAATCAGAATGAAAACTGATCCAAGAAGGAAACCCAGGCAAAGTTCGAACTTGAAACCAAAGCGAGGAGAAGCAAGTTGAGTCCGTGACTGATCGCGGCAGACGATCCGGCCACGTTGTTGCAAACAAGTAGCAACAGGTCAGCGCGCCAAAACCATGGACGACAAATTGTTCCCAATTTGAAGCTGGGGCTCACTTGAGCCTGTCTTAGCAGTTGTTGGAAAATTAAGATGCCAGTGCTTCCAGAAATGTGTTTCATGTTCGATTTGTCATGACATGAATGCATGCCAAATCAGTGCAACCCTGTATAAATAAGATTCCATCAAACAAGTTTGAGTTACATCAGGATATATAATTTGTAAAATATCAAAATATAAAATATATAATACAGTATATCATATATAATAAATATATATAATATATAATATATATAATATACTATATAATATATAATACATAATATATAATACATAATACATAATACATAATACATAATATAATATATAATATATAATATATAATATATCATATATAATATATAATATATAATATATAATATATGATATATGATATATAATATGTAATATATAATAAATAATATATGATATATGATATATAATATAAAATAGATAATATATGATATATGATATATAATATATGATATATAATATATGATATATATAATATATAATATATAATATATAATATATAATATATAATATATAATATATAATATATAATATGTAATATATAATATGTAATATGTAATATGTAATATGTAATATGTAATATATAATATATAATATATAATATATAATATATAATATATAATATATAATATATAATATATAATATATAATATATGATATATGATATATGATATATGATATATGATATATGATATATGATATATGATATATCATAGTCATAGTATCCAAAACATTGGATCAGTGTAAGACATTCTGGGGCATGAGCTTCCCTCATGAGCGCAACCCGCATATGGTACACCTGCATAATCTGAAGAAAACAGAAAACATGAAAAAACAAAACAAAAACAAAACTCAGTTTGCATGATCTTGCAAGAATCTTGCATGTTTGTATGCTCGAATCGCAGATCTTCTGGTCTTTGCAGCACCTCCTCATCTTCAACATCCAGCAAGCCAAAGGTGAAACCAAACACAACACCCATTGCCTTAGACACGTAATGTGTCAAACAATGCTGTCTCTGTCAGAGCTCAGCTAAGATTTCCGACTAAGGATACGATGAGGACCAAGAAAACCTTGTGGGGACAAAGCGTTGCAAACGAGGAACCAACATTAACCAACACAAAATAAGACAAAATGATACTGATGCTAGCTGCTCTGCTAGCTCTTGCAAGACCTCAAATGTCTCTGCTGCAAAACACTATATACCGCAGAGCACCTGCTGAGAGCTCTCAACCACAGGCCTCAAAAGTCACATGAACATCACGAGACGGGGTGCCAGCGTTACCAAAAAAACGAGCAAAGTTGCTCCATTGATCAGTGGTGTGATCATGAGTATCATAGATTATCATGGATACCTGCCAAGCTACTTTGCTACAGAGTTCTGGAAGAACCCAATGACGTAATTGAGCACCTGGGTTTCAAAGAGTTTTCTGAACATCGAAAAACAAGGGAAAAACAAAAAGTCATTCCTCGTGAGCATTGTGATTCACTTTGGCCGACTACATTCTGAATTCCCGGCATCCACAATTGAGAATGTCAGAGCAAATGCCACTGCCAATCCCAGCGTCATGTACAATGGCACCTGCATCAGTTTCACAAATACCAGAAAGAAGGCGCGGGATAGTTTCTGGTGTTTTTCGTTTTGGCAACGTTGCCTTCATCCATGGAGCAAGCCCGACGAAAATCTTTCGATCCAAGAGAAAGCATAGCCTGGAGTTGCAGGTCAAGAATGGAACCAACCTAAATCAAGAAAACACTTGCAAAAAAAACACTGCTGCCAACTCAGGACCAAGCGCACCACTTAGGATGATGGTGCCGGCAAAGATGCTGCAGAGGAAATGGTTGGGTGGCTCTCCAGCAAAGTTCAACACACATTTTGAAGGATCCGAAATCCGATCAATGAAATTAGTGTCAGATACTCTTTCGTAATGCAAATCCACCAGAGATGGACTTGCCTGAGATGCAATCGTTTCATCTGCAACGGATCGGCGGACTCGTGTGAAAGGACCTGGGCACATAAGAACACTACAACTACAACCAATAATCAACTGACATGAAACATGACTTGTATCGGCAAATGTTTTCCAAGGTTTACACTCTCCAAAGTATTAGACAACCCACCACAATGAAGAGCACGCCAAAGTACCTTGTCAAGTGCCACAACACCAAGCTGACGGGACAAACCAAACCTGACAATTTGTGGTTAAGTCTGTGACATCGAGAAGAATGGCGAAATCGAGATCTCGATAAGGGCCTTTCTTGATCAATTGTGATGGCCAGTTATGGCCGAATTGCGAGAGGATCAGTAACCAACGAACACACAAAATCATAAGACGAGATTGGACGGTTTCACAGAACAACAATTGCCGCGTTTTGGTGTTGACTTTGTTCAAAACAAGACAGTATCCATTACCATCCTGTTTGCAAAAACAGCAACACAAGTACCTGAGGGGCCAGCCAAATTTACCACCATGGAAATCACGATGCCAAGAGCACCACCTTCATGAAATGCCACCATGTCCAGCCCTTCCACATGATTTTCAACGTGTTGCAACTGAAAAAAATGAAATGTTTTTTTCAACGACAAACCTTTGGTTTGATTCTCGACACCAAACACAGCAAAACGTGCTGAATCAAATTCAGATATGTCGCCTACAACAGTGCTGCAAGTAAAAAGCACTCCTTGACGAACCTCACACACCAGCAGGCAACGCCACAATATATGATGAAAATTTGAGGTCAACACAAAATGCAATATGTTCCAAGGATGACACTGTGCAATCCACATCCATGGTTCCAATCATGCCTCCAATGGCACCAACACAACAACAAAAGACATGAAAAGAATGCAATTCAATTAGCGATTGAACAATTTTTTGGTGCGGTTTCGAACCTGGTGTCGTCAGTCCATCATTGACAGCAGGCAAATCTGCCGCGCACGCACCAACAACGTGGCCGTACTGCGAGTAATTTGTGCAATCCTGGTCAATTAAATGTAAATTTATGAAATCACATAACTTTTGGGGAAACATGCAAAATACCGAATTGCAGAATGAAAACTATATCATGTTGCTGCAGATTTGGGCGTCTTGGGTGCAAGGTTGAATGGCATACCAAAGGAAATGCAGAGATCAAAGCGTTCCAAATATGATATAAACAAATGTTTGCTATATTGTCTATATTGTCATAATAGTAACCATCCATGTGTAATCGGTGCGATTATTTTCGGTTGCGTTTGACATGCAGCATCAAGGGCCCACGTTTGATCAGCCTTGATACAAATGCACGTTGGTTCATTGCGACTGGATTCATGAACACTGGCCGTGTTCGCCACCTTTTTTTCCGAATCATTTGTGGTCTGTCTGCACGGCCGTCCGCCAACTTACCAACCCATCAATCCATCAATTTGTTGGTCTGATGATCCGATTGTGTACCAATGTGTTTTTTGAAGTGTTTCTGAACATTTTCCTTGATGCAAAGACGCCTGAGGAATCCATCTATTTCACAACGGCTTCAAACATGCTACGCAGCTGAAAATGGAATGTCCTTTGACATGAATCAACTGCAATGCAACTGTACGTGTAACTGAAATAAACACATGTAGGAGTGCAACAATTCTGTTCACCCCGCCTCAGTTCAAACTTTAGTGAAGAACTGAAAGTGAAATGGAAATGAACCAATGGCTGTCTGCAAAGCCGTACTGCAAAAGGGCTGGTTCATGTGAATTTCCTCATTGTTATTTCCAAAAATTCTAAACGTTCCCACTCAGTCATCTCAAAAGTCCATGTGCTGGCTCCATAACACGTGAAGAAAGGTCTGAAATGCTCTGACAAAATTCCTCCAGTTCCCAGGTGCCGTCTGCAAAACGCACCAAAGTTGTTCTAAGCCACATCAATGACTCACTGGGGCAATACGTCGTGTCAACATGTTGAGGTGACACGCTTCTCAAACCATAAACAGAGTCACTCAGCCTGATCCAACCACGTTGTAAACCAGCAAGGCTCTCGCCCAAAACGACTGCCCTGACATGTTCAACTGGCTTGCTATCCATGTGGCTCAACATTCTGATAACACCATGCGCACACAAAGAATAACGCTTGAAGTGGACTGGAATGCTCTTGCCATTTCTCACCAGAAACATTGAATCACCAGAGTTTTGAAGACACCATCCATCTCTGAGAAGACGACCCATTGAAATAAGTGGTGAAGTAACTGGCGCTATGATAAACCGCTCTTTGAAAACGACTGAACCAAATTGCACTTCAGCTATTCGAGCTTCCCTCACTGATATTGGTTTGCCTTGAGCATCAATGAAAGAAGAAGGCTTGTCAAACGTTGGATCCCTGTGACCTATTGCAGCATATGGGCAGAACTGAAACATCAGCTCCAGAGTCAATCACCACCTCCACTTTGCCGTCAGTCACGTTGCCAACAGCTCGAATGCAGTCAAATGAAGAATGGCTGTCAGGTGAAAGGTCAATGCAATAGCTGTCACAAAAAGTCCAAATACCATCATCATCAGTGCATGACATGTCAAAGTGAATGCAAGCGCACATGTATGCTTCCTCAACATGGTCCAAGTCATCTGCGGGTGAAATTTCAGCACACGAAACAACATTGCAATTGCCAGAGCTTTCATACATTGTGAGCTCACGGAAGTCAAGCTCATCACTGCTGGGAAGTTCTTCAATGATGGGGCCAACATATGAAGAAAGCAAACGCACAGAGCCAGTAGCTGAGGTCATGGTAGTTGAGGCAGCGCTTGAAGAAGCACCACTGCTAGAGCTTCGAGCGTTTTGCGTCTCTTCAACTTGATTCACATTCTTTGCATTGGTGGGCTTCCCATGCAACTTCCAACAGTCTCTTTTGAAATGCCCATATTTACCACAATGTAAACACTGATCACTTGAGGTAGCCGCACGTGGCTTTGAAACATCTTGTTTGCTCTTTCCCTTACCTTTGTCAAACTTACCCTTAGTCTTTCCTTTGGAAAACGAAGAGTCTTTACTTTTCTGCTTTCCCTTGCCTTTGCCCTTCTTGCCTGTCTCAAACCGGTCAATCTCCACAGGAGTAGGGCCATTGTAGGCAGCAGAAGCAGTAGAGCTGGATGGCAAAATGCCAAGTTCACTGTTCACTATGAATTCGACCTGCACTCCAAGTGGTCGTCACCGACTCATAGCTGAGGACAAGCTCCCTGACCTGGGCATACGTTGAACGCTCTGTCATCTGCAGCTGAATGTGGGTCTGCAATGCCTTTGGCAACGACTTGGCCAGGATGCTCAACATCAGGTCATCAGCTACATCAGTTCCAGAAGATCTCATGTAATGTTGGCTGCCTAATAGTAATTACCCCCCCTATTTTTTTTTTCGGGGGCGTCAACCTTCCTATCATAATTTTTGGGAATCTATAGCTGGGATCATGATATGTATCTGATAGATTCTCCATGGTTTTGTTGGGTTTCTGTTAGATTCTGCATAGGGTTTGGTTGGGTTTCTGAGATGTTCTGCATAGGTTCTGCATGGATTAGGGTTGGTTTCTGTTAGATTCTGTATGGAATTTTGGAACCTTATAGGGGAAGTGGACATGGAAGTGGGGGCAGAGGTGGTGGAGGCGAAGGAGGAGGACGAGGAGGAGGAGAAGAACGAGAAGAAGAAGGAGAAGGAGAAGGAGAAGGAGGACAACAAAATTGGAGTTGCGGAAAAAAGTTTCCACTATTGCCATGCCTGGTGCAGGTTTGTTATTGCTATTCTGGGGCTTGCAAAGGGGGTACCCTTTGTGGACCTGTTTTCTTGTTTTTTTTAATAAGGGTTTTATAAGGAAATCAGCTGTTTGGTAATTGGATCAGATTTCTGGAATCTAAGCTTTTGCTAATCAAAAGTGAAGGCTGCTTTGAAAAGGCTCTTTTGGCAATACTAAAAGTAAATGGAGCTAATTGATTTTTAGTATTGGAGAAAAAATTGGAGTTGGGAAAAAAGTTTCCACTATTGCCATGTTGGGTCCACTATTGGCCATGCCCTCTGGACAAGGTCTGAACATGACTCTTTTGGCAATACTAAAAGTAAATGGAGCTAATTGACTTTTAGCATTGGAGAAAAATTGGAGTTGCGGAAAAATGTTTCTACTATTGACAAGATATCACTATTGGCTAGACAACATTACTCGGTTCTCAAGCGTTCAAGGCCTAAGATGTGGTCCATCAGGGTTTTGTCCTTCAAGCTAAAAGCTGGAATATTCATCACCGCAGCAAGCAAGGAAATCGACCTGCTTTTGGTCTTTGGTGAAAAGAGTTGCACCAATTTCCTCCAAACCTCGAAACCATTTCTCTCAGAAGTCTGGCGCAGTAGCCGCAAAGGCTTGCCACGAAGGATCCCCATGAGGATGCTGAAAAGCTGTTTGCATCTCTCTTGAACATCATTGGGCTCAGCTCTAGGAAACTCTATTGAAGCGCAGGCATAGTTGGTCTCGATACAAGGAAGGTCAGTTTCAAAGCCACTATCACCATAGAACAACCAAGCCCTGAATGAAGTTCACTGTGAAGTTTTGCCACTTGCTAAGATCTTCTTCATGGTTTTCAGAACCAAACGGGTCAGGTTGTCTGATGACTTTTAAGGCTTCACTCAACCCCTTTCCACTCAAACCAGTTCCACGACTAGCCTGGGCCTCTCTCAAGGCAGTAGCTGCATCGGGCAGCATCAGTTGCTGCTTGTATCAACTGGGACACGTCCAACGCGCCACCATCAGCGGCCATGCTCCAAGCGCAGCCAAACAACCAAATCCCAAATGGCGAATTTTTTTGGCATGCGGTTCTTTGTAAAAAACAATCGTGTTAAACAAGCTGATTACGACCCGCCCCCCGCATTCTGGAAACAGGAAACCAAGTCCTAGGTTTTTGGCTTTTGGACAAAGAGCGTGCCACAGTGCATTCGGCCACACTCCGAGGAAAAAAAGTTCCCATCATGGCGTATTTTTTTTCAACAAAGTTCCTTAAACAGTGCGCCCACACAAAGGCCGTAAGAGCAAATGCGGTGCTTAATCAACTCTATCTGGACTTGTCATTTTTCCTTGCCGCATCCGCACGGTGCAGATCTCGAGAAATCTCAAAGTAGCGTCTAAGGTAGCTTCAGGTGCTCTTACCAGAATAAAGGATCTGGATCACAGGGCTCCGCCACCATGAACATTTTCCTTTGATGCAAAGACGCCTGAGGAATCCATCTATTTCACAACGGCTTCAAATATGCTGTGCAGCTGAAAGTGGAATTTCCTTGACATGAATCAACTGCAATGAAACTGTTACTGCAACTGAAATAAACACATGTAGGAGTGCAACAATTCTGTTCAGTTTCACTGTGTTTTTTCAATGATTGTTTTTTGTTTATTCACATGATGCTGTAGGTTCGGAGATCACATGCCAATCTGCACTGGGACGTGCAATATGTTGCAACATGTGGGCAACTTATTTTTCGAAAAGTGCACAGTTATTCCATAAACATGTGATTCGAGGGAATGCCAAAACATATGTATATATGTATTTTTATATGGGGATCGGTGTAAAATCTGGGCCTCTTGGGGCTGCTGCTTCAGACATGTCCTTTTTCATACTGCCTGCGCTGTCACTTGTATGGGCCGACATGATGGAGGACGAGAAGACGCAAAGTCTGACGCCTCATCGAGCTCCTCGGATGGATCAGAGAATGAATCAGAAGCCGACTTCGAGACAGAAGAAGCTGCCATTGCAGGAGTGGTGGGGAAATGGGACGCGTGGCCGACCTTGGAGACGCCGAAGGAAGTCCTTTTTGCACGACACAAGCTATCTAGGTGCATACATTCTTTGCAAGATGAGACTGGAACTTGCTTCAAGTGTGGCAGAGGAATGAGCCACACACACTTGTTGAAGGCAAACCAGACTTTGTGCAACCTTTATGCAACACTTGCTTCCGACCGGATGGCATGTGACGTCCAGACCATGTGGG